TACTGTAATTGGCCGAGTTGTTATGATAGGATTATGCTTGTTTGCATTTTAAATTGTGGATAAGTCTTCCGTTTTATCTTTTGTAATATTCACGTGTATATATGACATTCCTTTGTATGGTGACAAATGATGAATAACAAATACCATTTCTAATAATACCTCTAAAAGGAAACTTGTGACCTGCTATGCTGAATCACCTTTATCTAAGGTGATTGACAAGGCAGATGTTCATCGGGTTTGCTTGTTGGGATTGTGTCTCTCACAGACGTTATTAGAGTTATAAGGCGTTCTCTACTATCAGATTCAGATGATCAGTGAGAAGCACAATTTTGTGCCAAGGTGGACAAAAGAAAGATATTGATGATGTAAACATCCTCACATATGTTGAATAAAATTGGTTGTCATACAAATTGCACGAAATGGTTGTTTACACTTTATACATAAATTAGAAAACATATTTGTTTTAGACAAAAGAAACTGAATTTCTTATGACAAACAAATTGCAGTACGGGTATACTAGGAACCTTCCATCAATATGATATATGTAACATAAAAGACCATCATCTTAGCCTTCTTCTTCTGGGCGTAGTTGAAAATCATCTTAAAACCTCAGTTCTTCTTCTTCTCCTATGTGTTGTCTCTGAGCCTAAAACAACAATTGTGTCAACATTCATACTCGAAGGAGGCACAGAAGCTGCGGCTGCAGAATTGGTTGCAGCAACATATCGAGCAAGACTCTCTAACAAATTTGTAGCAGCATCACTAAAAGTTGAATTTCTATTAACAACACGAGGATTTGACTGCCTGCTTCCACCTACCTGGTGATCATGCATATACGATTCAAAGTCCTTAACTAATCTTTATGCAGAATACATTGCAGAATTTAATCCAAAGTACAAATCCAACTCCAACAAGAGAGAGCCCCATTCCTAAAACAAAACCCATATACAGTGTCCTTGTTGTGGCAACAATCACCTTGTTATAGTCTTTCTCAGCAAAGGAACTAGCTAGAATAGTCTGTGAGCCATAAAATACGCATGATGTGAATTCTTAGAAAGATTTTGAGAAGTTAAATGTATAAGGTACATCACAGTTCTAATCAGTCCTCGCAGACTTCTTCTTCAAAATTTCTAAAGGGGCACTTGTGGAGAGGTTGGCATACAGAAGTGGTGTGGGAACATATATGTTTAGATAGAGAGCTTCTTTGCTTCAGGGAAGAACATGAAAACAAATGGTAAGTTTCAATGGGAAGCTGTAAATTCAACGGAAAAAAATAAAAATCATTTCCCCCTACCCGTGACTTATAATTAACAACTTAAACAAAAATGAAGTTATCATTATCCAGAGGAAAAAAAACCAAATAAACTCTTTGCAACATAAAAAATCCAGTCTATACAAAAAATATATTATAAATCTTCAACCGAAACCTCATCTCATAGATTCCTGCATCATGAATAAAGGAAAAAAATAACAAGCACCTCCCTTTTTTTCCTTAGACTTTCTCGTTGATTTGATTTCTAACTTCTAAATTTTTAAACAAAGCATGGAAATAGAAAAGGGAAAAACTCAAAATACTTCTCCTTTGAAATTTCTACAGGGTCACTGGTAGAGAGGTTGAGGTAGAAGAGTGGTGTGGGAACTGCTTCAACTGTGAAAACGGAAAAAAGAAAAGAAAAGAAAGTAGGTATGCTTCGTTCAGAAGTTGTAACGTCAATGAGAAAAGAAAGAAATGAGCGGAAATGGAGAAGTTCAGAGAAGAACGAGGTAAAGATGACAGTTGGAGTCACGTGCCTACTATTCTTTTTGAAGTCGTGGCCGTTGGATTAAAGTGCAATGGATGGTTCAGATGGGGTGTAAGAGTAAAAATCTTACACTGGTGTAAGATGATCCTGCCCCTATATATATATATATATATATTGAATAAATTTTCTCCACTAAATGATTTAATTTTGACAGATTTTTAAACCTCCACAATTTGACATTATATTTTGCTATTTAAATTGCTTGAAAATATATAATATACTATCCTTGATAAAAAATAAATAAATAAAGGTTGTAAAAGGTATAATCATCCCCAAAAGAAAAATTCGATATAACTATTTTTATATTTTCATTTAATTTATTAATTAATTTATTTTGAAGTTTGCCAAAACTTTCTGGAGAATGAGAATGAGATACAGATAGCACTCTAACTAATCGCAACTGCAACTTTGGATCTCCACCTTATCCCTCTCTCACTCTCTCTTCGCGCCAACGCTCGATCCTTCATTATGTTACCTTCAAATCAATTCATTTTCTATTCGATATTCGATTTCTGCTTTTTTCGATTCCAATGGCACATTTTCACTCTTGTTGTGCTTAGTTGAACTGAAATCTGCTGCGTTTCCATTTTTCAATCCGGTAATTAATGCGAGTGATTGGCTTGTTCTTCACTAAAATTGAATCGTTTAAATTTGCATGCAATTTTTTTTTTTTTGTTTCTTTGTTTGTGTTGCCATGAATTTTTTGATGCGGTCTACTACGAATGTGTATACATAACACGTTCATCGATTCCGCAACCTCGCGTTGACACTCATAATAGGTCTGCATCTGCTGGGTCTTCTCTGGAGACTATAATGTTTAATGATCCATACCCATCGTATGTAGCTAAGGTTGATTGCAGCATGCATGTAATGAAATCCTAGTTAATTATAAAACATTCAAGTCCTAATTAATTATAAACACAATTATCGACAGATTATTTTGGCCTGTAATGAAAGATTTTAAAAGATTTGTCTAAACTATTGGTGAACGAGAGTAGTTAATTAGGTATTCAACAAATTAATACAAAATATAAATTTGTCCAAAAAATTATAAATACAAGCCCTTTACCAAAATTGTGTGTGTGTTTTGGTAGTATATAAGTATATAATTAACGGGGAAGGTTATACTTATTACCTCTTTTTCTTACTACCTCTTATTACCAAATCTTAACCGTTATTCCTGTCAATCTAACGGTTATAATTTATGTAATCATACTTATTAATTAATTATTAATTTTTAATAAATTATAACCGTTAGATTGACGGAAATCAGCGGTTAAGATTTGGTAATAAGAAGTAGTAAGAAAAGTAGGTACTAAGTATAATCTTTCCCTTCACGGGGAAGGTTATCACATGTCACTTTCTTCTTAAAGTTATTAAAGTTTAAGAAAAATAGGTAGTAAGTATAATCTTTCCCTTAACGGGGAAGGTTATCACATAATTAACAGTTATTAAAGTTTACCACATTTCACTTTATTCTTGTTTATTAATTTTTGAAAGCTGAATGTTATGATCGAAATATTGATGATGATTACAATTGTAGCATTGATGGTAATTATAATCATAACATTAATGATGATTACGATTGTAGCATTGATGATGATTACAATTGTTGCATTGTTGATGATTATAACGTTAATCATAACAGTCATCAATTTTACAATCATAACATTAATGACTGTTACGATGATAACATTGATGATTGTATAATCATCATCAATGCTACGATTATAATCATTATCAATGTTATGATCTTAACACTGAATCTTGGTGGTATATGAAAACATAATTAAAAACATTGACAAATTAATTGATAATTTTATAGTAAAATTCTAAGTTAATTTGTTTAAAAATTTGTGTTATTATTGAAGGAATAAGATATACAACACACACTCTTAATGCACATAAAATTGTTTTTTTTTTTTTTTTTGTTATTTTGTTCCCATATCAACATGGGCAAAAGGTGCCGCGGTTCATGTGTATGTCTTGATGTGAGGGTGACGCGTGCAGTTGTTTGGTAGGTTTGTCTTTATCTTTGTCTTTGACATCCATGCTCTTTTTTTATTATTTTATATTAACAAAAAGAAAAAGCAAGTCAAACCCAATGGGTGCAGCTCAGTTGGTAACTTGGCGCTGCTGAGTTAGTGGGGTTGGACATGTGTTCGATTCCTGCTGAATGCATTCTTGGGGAGGGGGCTGAACCTTTAGCCATCACTGATCCCCCGCACTCCGGATTAGTCTCATAGCCGGCTCAAAGAGTCGAATTTCGTGGGGATACCGGAGGGAGCCAACTCGCCTCAAAGAGGTAATTAGGGTTGGGTAACTCAAAAAAAAAAAAAAAAAAAAAAGCAAGTCAAATCTGATACCACAGTCATTTGAGATACAAGTCAAAATGTTTTATGCTTTTGGGCTAGTGCAAGTATCTGATGGAGATTTTAGCTATTTCAAATCTTCAAATTCTATTTTTTATTCTAAATTTTATTTTCTCAAATTTGAAAGTCAACTATATGAATGTCAGCTAACATCACATTGATTCGCTCACATTAATTACTTCCTTTTTTCCGTCCTTAATTTCGCTTTAGAAAATTATTATTGACATGAAAATGTGAACATATCACGGGGAAGCAAAGAAGCAAGTGTGATAATTTTAGGAAAAATTTCAAAGATTGAAATAGAAACATTTAATTAATCTAAATCATAAAATTTGTATTATATTTAATAACAGAAAAATATTTCTGCAGTTACTGCAGATAAATTATCTGCATTTACTTTCAAAACAGCGTCGTTTTGTGATTGAAATATTAAAAAATTATAATTATAAAGACTATAATAACTCTGAAATAAATTAAAATGAAAAAAACACCATGATTTCTGCCCCAAAACGATGTCGTATTGGACTTACTGCAGATAACTTATCTATAGTAATTGCAGAAAAAACGAACCCATTTAAGAATTAAATACGATGACTATGATTAAGATCCTGCTCATTGTACACTCTCTCACCCTTGTCCTATAATTATGAATTTTCTTTTAAAAACGTTTGATTTTCTTAACTTCCCTCCAAAGCACGTACACATTTCTTTTTAAATACAGATTCATCTTTGTATATTTCAAGCAAATGTTGTGCCTTGTCAATTTTGTGTGAGTGTTGAATTTTTCCAGCTTTCCTCAAATTGCTTGGTTCCTATTTGATCCATCATGGTTCTTCGTTGGTGCTACTTTGCATGTCTCTTTCTCTTGGTGGCTTTGAAACTAGAGCTAGCTAATGCTCAATTTTACCTAAATGACGAAGATGAACCCGTCACCTTCAAGACAATAGTTGTGGATCCATCTGGGAATGGAAACTTCATTACCATACAATCTGCTATTGATTCAGTTCCTTCCAATAACAGACGTTGGATTTTGATCAAGGTGGCGGCAGGTATCTACAGGTAAAGCTATTCTTCTCCATTAATTAGATAGGAAATCATGTACTGTATTATGTGTGCCTCAAATTATAATAATTTTATTGTCAATCCTAATTAAATATTTAAAAAAATAAAATATGATCAATTAGACATTTTAACCATTTTGATACAATTTGTTAAATGAATTATCAAATTGATACATTTTATCAAAATATGTGCGAGTTTATATCGAACATGGGGTACATTGTTGAGGAGTTTAATAGTGAAAATTGTGCACACCTCTTGAGTGATTTATAGTGCATCACTTAGCTGATGTTAATTCGTGTATGTGCAAAACTACAGTCCATGTGTGATTTAAATGGACATACCCTTGTGCATGTCTTGTTACATTATTTTTCAAAAAAATAAATAAAAAAATTTTGCTTTTGTATCAATTAGGTACTTTGTTTTTTTAAGTAGCATTAAGATTGTCAAAAGACCAATGATTTAAGAGATGATAAAAATAATATTTTTTATTGTGATTTAAAAATTATAATTAAAAGACGTTAATGAATTAAGTACGATAGATTATTGAGATTGTCAATTATTCTATCTATCTTTCAAATCTCAATGGATTAAGCAAAGTATGTTTTGTTTTTTTTCAGGGAAAAAGTGAAAATTCCGTTGGACAAGACTTTCATCGCACTAGTAGGAGAGAAAAATAAGGACACTATTGTTGATGGGAATGACCATGCTTCAACCGCTGAAAGTCCAACGATCGAATTCCTTGCTGACAATATTTTTGTCAAATACATGAGTTTTAGGGTGAGAAATATTCTAATTGTTGTTTCATTTAAATCTGTAATGAAATAATATTAACTGTTGAATTATCTGGGTGAATCATGTGATGATGTTTAATTAAATTCTAATAATAACCATTTTTGTATCTTTTAATAAAGATTCCATTAAAAATGTATGTTTAGTTTTGTAGTCTTTTTTATTTCTTATCAATCCTAAGAGTATTGATTTGGGATAAAGTTCTTAAATTTGTCTATGCTGACCAGAATTCATACAACAATCCATTAAAAATTAATGACGTGGCAAGTGACATGGCACCTGCGGTATCTGCGAAGGTATGCGGTGACAAAATTTACTTTTATAGAGTTGGCTTTTTTGGTTTCCAAGACACTTTGTGGGACGAATCAGGAAGACATTACTACAAGTTTTGTACCATAGAAGGTGCTGTTGATTTTATCTTTGGTGCAGGCCAGGCTCTGTTTGAGGTAATAATACCCCTCTTTTTACTATACTTCTCTTTTCATTTTATTGCAAAAGATATTTTTAAAAGTTATTTTTTTCTCTTTTCACAAAAGACTGTCGAATGATGTAATAGAAAAAAAAAATTAATATTATAATTATGTATTACCCCTAATATATAGTTATAATTGACAGCATATAAAGGAAATTTTTTACATCAACATGATAAGTTGAGCGAACTTACTTTATCTCTTAGTTCATGTTTATGCCTACATATTATGAAAATTATATTGATGTATGATTAGTTCTTTTAAATAAACTAGGGATTTGCAAAACCATGATTCTATGTATAATTTTGTTTGTTTGTTTTTTCAGAGGTGTACCATATCTGTTATTGATGCGTTACTGGGTCCAGATAGGCCTGGTTTCATCACAGCACATGGGAGAAATAATCCAAACGATGCAACTGGTTTTGTTTTCAAAGATTGCAAGGTTTTTGGAAATGGGAAAACTTACTTAGGAAGGCCTTGGAGAGATTACGCTAGAGTTCTTTTCTATAAGACCTATATGTCCAACATTGTAAAACCTACTGGTTGGGAAGCATGGCATTCCGTTGGACAAGAGTAAATTCCCTCTTTCTTATAGTCTTGCTTTTTCAACCTATTTATATGAAAATATTTATTCATGCTCAACATAAAGTGATGCTAGTTTTATAGAACTTAACGTAAAAGTTTCTACTAGAAACGCTTGAATTTTAAAAGCATACGAAATATAATAAACTTGGATAGTGTTATATTGACAAAAAAAATTTCTTGTAAACTTATAAAATACACCAAATCTGACCAGTCAGACATACTGTTCTATTACTGGTCAGATTTAGTGTAATTTGTAAGTTTGTAAGAAAAAAAAGTTTATCAATATAATTCCTCCCATTAAACTTATGTCTTTTAAAATTTTTTCCTATTGGGGTTTCTTTTATTTTCTCTGCTAGGGTATTAATGTTTTGATATAAAAATTGCAGGGATCGCGTAACATTTGCTGAGTATAAGAATTTTGGGCCTGGTGCTGACACGTCCAATAGAGTGAGTTGGACTAAGAAGTTGGATTTATCAACGATTAATAAGATGGCAAGTTTGGATTTCATTGACGATGAAGGATGGCTTTCGACCTTTGGAGTTTTCATTTCTGGATAAACAGCTTTGGAGTTTTCTAAAGATGATGTTGAATCCCCTGAGTACTAAATAAAAAGCTGGTCCATAAGACCATAACCATTGGTTTCTTTTATTTTGTTTTACCTTTTCTTTTTTAGATATATTCACGAGTTGTTAATTAATGTTGGAGAGACTCATAGTTCCAATTAATCATTTATTTATTTGATACATGAGTCATTTATTTCTTTTAGTTAATGAATTATTTTTATTTTTATTTTTTTTGGGGATGAATTGTTAATTATACTACTTGCGGAGTTTATCAAAAAGAAACATTATCGGATACTGTCTTCTAGAATTAGTTATAAATATTAAAAATCAAACTCTAAAGGTACTTTATAGGCTAAATATTCGTGTTAGAACGCTAATTTTAACATTCGTTTTTGCTCAAGTTACTTCAATTGAATTCGAACCAGAGATTTTTTAGACCAACAGTTTGCTTCTTGGACATAGCTCGCTTACCATCTGTATCATTCCTTACTCCTTAGGATTATCTGAAGATTATTTTAACCAAATGCATATTTTTTTCTTCTTCTTTTGATTAATGACCCAAATGCAAATTCTAGAACGGGCTTAAAGTAATTTTGATTCTACATCAATTATTTAAAAGTGCTTTTCAGTGAAGACTGCGTACATATATGGAAAAAATGTTTGTCATCTTAAATGACACACATTTATGTCATTTTTAATGAAACTACCACCACCAAAAACGGTATTTTACCACGACAATTTAGCAATGCTTAAATTAAGTTGCAATTTAGTAATGACTAATGTAGTGACCAGTATATATTAGCTACGTGACCAGAGTTAATAAAAAAAATGAGCTCTTTCAAAAATAAAAAAAATAGCATGGACACACGTTAGGATCGTTTATTTCCTCTTCACCACAAAACCCTATTTCTCTTTCTCTCTCTTGCTCTAAGATGCGATTATTGGTGTGATTTTTCCTCCAGGTTTCGCTCTCTCTTATTCAAATATTGTTCGATTCTTTTTCTGTTCCTCCACAAGCTACGGATCGTAATCCCATTTCCATCTGAATTTTGAATTTCACCCCTGAATCTGAGTTTTCCTTCTTCCATATGTTTTTCCTTCAGATTTGTACGAATTTTAAGTGAGTGTTTGCTTTGTTTTCGTTAATTTTTAGTTTCTGAGCTAGTTTCATTAACAATAGCTTAAAACTAATTTATGATTTTTCTTATTTTCTTTTTCTTTTTTGTATTTCAGGAACATTATTTTCACTGTTTCCTAGAGTTTCTAAGCTCAATTGAGCTTTCGATTCGAGTTCGTTTGAATTTTCTGCTCACAAATGACTCATTTTTGGATTTTAGTTGGACATCATGTTCACTTGTTAAGGTATGGTCATGTAGTTTTCGTTGCTTTTCCTTCTTGTTTTAGTGCAGCTCGTATGGTTTGGTGGAGACTGTGGAACTATTCTTTTGTGTGTATTAGAAAATTCTGGGTGATATTGGTTTGTGTGCCACGTGTTTGATCAATTGTTTCAATGGTAAAGAATGACATCACTTTAAAATTATCAGGATTAAATAAGGAAGAAGGAAATGAGAGAAGATGAATATCTGAATAATGCTCTATTAGATTGATATGGTGTGTTTCTGCAAATTATAAACCCAACATTTGGAAACATCACTTTCTGCAGTAGTTTTGGATAAATCATTTCAGAGGGAAGCAACAACAACAACAATGAAAGCAAGAAGGCAGGGAAGCGCAGATTAGAGGGTCAGATGTACTTTGGGCGTTGCAGAGAGCAAGTGCTCATAAGAAGAAGAAGAATAATAATAAGCAGGAGCAACAGAGGGGATCATCCTCTGCGGTCAGTCGCATGGAAGAAAGTGTTGCGGACTTCAACAATGTTCGCCCACTTTGCATAAATAACCACTGGGGTGCTAAATTGGATGACTTGGAGAAACGTCTTCGTGAGCTTTCACATACCATTTGATTTCAGTCTTGTTATTTTACATTAGAACAGTTTTTTTTTTCATTGTTAATATGAGAAATATGTTTTTTTTTTTATTTTCTATTAATTTTATTTATAATGGCATATTTAAATTGCTTATTGATAAATTAACCGAAAATGATAGAATTTCGGAATTTAATTTACATGCTTGCCTTATTAGTTATTGTTTTGTTATATTTGGGACAGAATTTTAGTTGCTAGTTGATTCCACTGAACTGCTATGCTGATGTGTGTCTCTATATGGAACTAGAGTACGTGTTAACATTGGAATTTCCAAGCTAATCCATATTCCTTGTCTGGTTTATTCATGTTTTTCTCTGAGATCGAATTTCTTGTTATATTCTTGCCTTTAACAAAAAATGCACGCAGATTTGGAACATCTGTTGACAAATACATTTGGCAGTCATATATTTCTAAATAAATCATTTGTAGAACATCTGGGTGATATTGGTTTGTGTGCCACGTAGTTTTGGATAATGTTGTGTAATTTAGTTAGATTACAATTTCACTTGGCTGCACATCTATAATTGTGAAAACACAAGGTATGAATTTCTAATCCTCCTATATATATAACCTTGTCTTATCTTCTATTTAGTTAATTCATTTACTCTGTTTTTTATTTATATTTTCCTAATTTTGTCTTATCTTCTGATCTGTGAATAGATTTGTCTGTTTCTGGATTTTCTGTGTAAAAGTGGAGATATTACTTAATGGGTAGACATTTTAAGGTGAAAACTAAAAATTATGTCTCTTAGTATTGTGCAAAAGAACAATTACATAATCTTTTTATGATGTAGTCAATTGATTAGCAAGTACATTGGTAATCAATTAGTTACTGATAACATATTTGTCAGCTACTGAATCACTGAACATAAGATTACCCCCAATGTTGAACCATATACCTTATAAGTATACAAGTCAAATTGGTTACTTCATAGTACCACATAAACATTAAAGTCCGAAACAAAAGTGTCATGTATTCACATGGAAGACAGATTATTATCTAAATTAGTTTATATCTTGTTAAAAAGCTTAGGAGGTCTATTTAACATATCCGAACCTTGGAATTTTTGAGAAATAAATTTACTCCCAGTTTAAAAATAAGCAATGCTGCCATAGGGTGTTTGTTGTTAAATTTTAATGGGTTTTATTTCCTTTAGTTATTCCTTGACCTTGCAAATACGTGGGCTTAGTGACTTGCTAACTTGTGAAATGTGAATTCATAAGAACGTGTATGAATTTAAGGCAAATGCCCTCATTATTGGGGGTAATCTTATGTTTGTTGTTACTTGAGCCAATGAACGCAACAATAACCAATCCATAATGAGTTAGAATGGGTAGGATTTTGAATCTTGACATCCTATAGGACTGGGTTGGATAATTGTCATTAAGTTCAGCCTATAAATTGTTAAATTGTTTGGGAAAATTATGAATATTCATTGTGAAGGGATTTCTGTTTTGCACTTTTTGGAGCTTAGAAATATTGTGATTAGTCCTTTTAAAAGGATAGGATGCATACAACAATTCTTGGAAGATATATTTTAAAAATGTGTTGTCATATTTTGTTTAGTTGAACAACGGAGTTAATATTTTATAGATGTTTTGTGACAATCGCAAACATATAGTTTTAGCTTTATATGGGAATTATTTCTCTTAAATGATGTAAGTGGAAAACGTAATTAGTTCCTTTTGTTGGTAAAGGAAACTCCGTGAGCTTATATGAAATGGAAAAAAAATATGAATTTTGAGAAATTGTATAGAAAATATGATTTAATTATATGAATGGAAAAAAATTGTATTGTGTTAAATTATGTACTACACTTTATTTTATTATCTAAATTTGATTTTTGGTTCTTGCATCAAATGCAATTTTTATTATTTGTGTTTTATATTATTGGGAGAAATTGTAATATTATTTATTTTTTTTAAAAATTCCTTATAATTAGCCACGGTTCTGTTTGTGGTAAAATAAAACTTTTGATCATTGGTATACAAATCGTTTAGCCACGAATAAACGTGGCTAATATAACAGAAGACGTGGCTAATACAATGTTACCACACTCATTCAGACCGTGCTTAAATGCAAAAAACATCGTGGTTAAAATAATGCAACGCTCATTTTAGCCACGGTTTTCCAAACAGTGGACAACTTATTTAGCCACGGTTTTTATCATATTTTGCCACGATTTTTGCCGTTGCTAAAGAGCAATTTTGTTGTAGTGTACGTCGTTTTGGTAAGTTTTTACATTCTCTCTTCTCCATTTTTTTTTATTTCTAATTTTATAAATTAAAAAAATGACAAAACACACCAAAACGACGTAGTTTCATTAAAAATGATCAAAGCTGTGTCATTTAAAATGACAAACACTAAACCCTACACACACACACACACACATATATATATATATATTCTTACACCGTTGTGAGAGTTAAAAGTCTTACACTCAACCTAGACTATTGATTCACTTGTATTCAATGACTCACATTATTAAAAAATTATATATATAGAGTCAGGATCATTTTACACAGTGTAAGTTACACTATCAATCTTGTCCGTAGATCCCACTTATATCTAAGGGCTCAAATTTTTTAGTAATGTGAGCCATTGGATACAAGTGGCTCAATGATCATTAAGTGTAAAACTTCTAACTCTTATACCGATGTAAGAATATCTTGTCTCATATATATAATATTTAGAAAGCAAACTTTCAGAAAACAATAATATACAAGTAATTCAAAACCAGAAGCATTTTAACAAGGAGAAAAGAGAGCTAATAAAAGGGAAGTATTAGCCCTTTATTTCTCTCAGAGACAACAATTATTCTTCTTGAAATTTAATAAGGGGGAAGGCTTTATTTTAAGAGGGCAATCCAGAATGGAGGGTAGTGTCCTAAGGTTAATCTAAAATGGAACATAAATCATGTTATTTTTAAGAGTTAGTTAGAATCTTACATAAACAATGGAAGAGACATGGCTACAATGAACATCCGCGGATATTCATGACCAACAATTATATATAACATGAACTTAAACTTCTGTGAATTTACCAAATACAGTTTGAAAGTTTCAAATAGTTAAGAGAAAAAGAAATTAGAGATTAAGATTTTCAAAGTTAGGTACTAGGATTATGAGGAACCAAGTACATGAGAGGATGACACTTCTTATAAAAATACTAACCCCTATTTATGTTAATATTAGATTTTAAATCCTGATTAAATAAAATAAATAAATCATACACTTCTCCTGTGCAGGAACCACTCTTGCTGGATTTGTCAGAATCTCAAAAGAAGACTCAAGCTCCGATTTCTTCTCTGGATGATCATCCACCTTCGAAACAATATCAGAAAACACTTCAAAATGCTATTTAAGTATACAAATACAATATAATACCATACATGTAACAAGCCATGTTTCTCACAACTCTGCATTGGTCATTAAAATGTCTCAACCATCAAAGTGTTATTTATGAAAACTTCTTCAACCATCAGAAACCACATATAAACAGAAACTTAGCATGTTTGGTTGGTAAACACAATGCAGAACTGAGGATGAAAACAAAAAAAGGAGCATAGATGGAGGCAGGGGCGAGACTCTGATACCATGTAAAGAACCTTGAGGTCATCACCCCAAAAGCTAGCTCAAAGGGTGGGAGTGCCCAAGGCCTTATAAACTCCATATTAGTTGCACATACAACCTATCTCAACACACATCACTATCATTATTTATGAGCACCTCAACAGTAGTACTGCGCAGGCTATCCCGAATAAATTGTTTGATGCCCTCTCCATGGTTAGCATGAATAAGACCAAGGGCATAGAGAGCACCACCTTCTGAGAATGGACTACCACCACCACCTGTCCCACCCTGAGGCAAGTAAGGTGCCATCAGTGACCTTCCCTGCTGCAAATGGCCTCTATGGATAACACCAAGACCAGCTGTTGCACTAAATTTGGCCCAATTAGTCGCTCTGCTCAACCAATCCTAGAATTTCCAATGGAACAAAACCTTTTAAGAATTTTAAGCAATTAAAAACTAAGGGTGACCAAAAAGTAAAATATTACATAAACGACACGAACAAACAATTATTACAACTGACCAGATTTTCCCTTAGGAAATGTGGTATCACTAAATAAATAAACAACTATTTTCTAGTGGAGAAGACAACTTCAGAGAACAAAACTTGTATTTCTCTTCAACTTTTACTCTGTGTACTTTTCTTACAATATGGATTAGTTTATATAGGCAGTAGATTGCCTTTTCATGAACCTAACATTAAAATAGCCATAAACCACAAAATTAAACTTCCAACTCTTGGCCTCTCATTTTCTTCTAACTCTTGGCCTTTCACTTTCTCACAACTCTTGGCCTTTCACTTACCTAAAAACAAGACTGCCTAATTAAGACTATTAAATATAAAACTAACAAACCATTTAAAGTTTATTCAACAAAACTCCTCCATAAACTTAAATGCTTCTGCCATCTTTCATCCCAAGCATCTTCTTGCAATTGTTGAGCAGCACCGTCGGTAGTGGCTTTGTGAAGATGTCCCCGACTTGCTCTTGACTGGTCACGTGTGTTAGCTCCACATTTCCTTCCTTTACTTGATCCCGGATGAAGTGAAATCGGACGTCAATATGCTTGCTTCTTTCATGATTTACCGGGTTCTTTGCTAGCTCTATAGCCGTTTTATTGTCAATTCGGATCACAGTTTGGCCGACTTATTTTTCCTCCAGCTTACTTAGCAAATTCCTGAGCCACATTGCATGACAAACACACCAAGATGCAGCTACATATTCAGCTTCACATGTCGACAGTGTCACAATAGGTTGCTTCTTCGAAATCCAAGTGAATGTCGTGTTGCCCATGAAAAACACATAACCAGCCGTGCTCTTTCGATCATCTACGTCTCCACACCAATCACTGTCAGAATATCCAATCAACTTGTATTTTGCCGAGCTCGAGTAGTGTAACCCATGTGAAAC